AGGGCTGGGGCTGCAGCTGGAGGGGGCCGCGGGGGCCGCGTCCACAGGGGGCGTGGAGTCTCCTGGGTGGGCACGGAAGGGGGCCGGCATGGGGGCCCACGGACTGGAGCCAGGACGCCGGCGGGGCTGGGAGGGGCTTGAGTGGCTCTGGGATGGCGTGGCAGGGCAGAACACGAGGCGCACTCCCGGTGACTGGGGTCGGGGTCCACTGTGGGCGACACCCCGAGAGCCCAGAGGGGCACCTCGGCCCCCCCAGGCGGTTGCCCCAGACTCTGGCTCTTCTCCATGGACTCGCTCCCGGCCTCTTTGGCGGCCTCTGTGCTCCCTTGTCTCTTCCCCGCCCTCCACTGCCCACAGGCCCCCTCTGTTTCCTCCTGAGGGTCCCTCCGCTGACCAGGCCCTGGCCCCGGCCCCCGGCCCGGCCTGAGTGGCCATGGTGAGGGCCACCCACCTGTGCCTTCTCTTCATGACAGTGTCCTGCCCACGGGGAGCCGGAGTCGGGGCCTCCAGGCAGACCCGGTCTGACCCAGGGCTGCCCCCCAACAGCTCTGTGAGCTGTACCCCTGAGCAGGGAGCCCGCCCAGTCCCAGCTCTGCCGGTGACCCAGTCCTCAAGGCCCACTCCACACTCTGCATGTGGCCCAGGACTCCTCGTTCCTGCGGGACACGCCACAGAGCTGCCCCCTGGGGCCCTGGCCCTTCAGTGCCTTCCCCAGCTGGCCCAGCTGCTCCCTTGAACTCACACGCGGGTGTACATGCACTCACACGCCCATGCACACGCACCCGTGCACTCACACCCACGTGCACACACTCACCGTGCACTCACATACCCACACACACACCCATTCGTGCACTTGCACACACACAGTCCCATGCATTCATGCACTCACATCCCCTTGGACTCACACACATACCACACGTGCATGAGCACACAGGCACACAGGCAGCTGGCCTCCACACCCGAGGACTCCAGCCGCACCTCCTCCTCCCTGCAGGCCTCCGGGTTCCCCTGAGCACATCTTTCCGGCTGGCTGGACCACAACACCCGAGCCGCCCCTCCTCCACCCTGCACAGGAGGGATTCTGAGACGTTTCTAGAATGTCTCAGCCCAGACTGCAGTGGATATGTTGGCGGGATATCAGCCCACCCAACGACCGCGCCACAGCAGGGCCCACCTGCTGAGGGGCTGAGCCGCCCCATGCACTGCCCGTCCAGCCCTGTCCGGGCTGCAGCCTTCTGCAGCAGGCCCCGGAACCCAGAACCCCGAGGGCGGGATGGCCAGAGGGCCCCTCTGTCAAGGTGCCAGGCAGGGTCTGGGGTGGCTGCCGGCCTCACCGTCTGGAGTCGCACCCTGGGGGCCACCCGGTCCGTTCCTCTGCCCTTCTGGGAGTGTGTCTCCACAAGTGCCGCTGGACTCCAGCCAGTCAGGGTCCCCAGGCTCGAGGCCAAGCGGGGTGCTGGGAGGCGTGAGCACGCACGACGTGTCGGTGTGCAGCGGGCCGGCCTGGGAGCCCCTGCAGCTGGGCTGCCTCCTGAGGGGCGCGAGTGTCCGGGGA